AGCTTAGTTTTTCCATTGTCTTTCTCTTTTTGTGTTTCTTCTGGTTGTAGCTTAATTTCTCCATTTTCTTTCTCTTTTTGTGTTTCTTCTGGTTGTAGCTTAATTTCTCCATTGTCTTCATCTTTTTGTGTTTCTTCTGGTTGTAGCTTAATTTCTCCATTGTCTTTTTGTGCTTCACTTGTGTTTGGACATTCCTCTTTATTAGGTTGCATGCCTTCTGATTTGCTTGGAGTCTGAGGACTTGCAGGAGGCCTTGGAGCAGCTCTTTTCTTGGAGAGGGGTGAAGGTGTAGCTGGTTTAATTTCTGGAATCTGTGTAGTTTTAATAACAAGACTGGTATTTGAATATGGAGTTTCAGCCAGTTTAACTGGACCTTGAGCTGTATCTTCAGCATTGGCCACCTTTCCAGATGAGTTGTGTGTTAAGCATTGGAAGCCAGAAACTTCAGTACTTTTAGTGATATCTTTATTTACTGGTGGGCTTGGTGCCTTCCTCTTTTTATGAGTCGTTGTGGCTTTCGCTGGACCTGCAACAGTAGAACTTTTATCATTTCCTCTTAGATACTGCTGTTGCTTGTTTATTTGCCAATAGGTTTCAGGTGATGAGATTATAGGTTTAATGGTTTCCTCTGTATCACTTTCATCTGTGCTTCCAAATGGATTAAGACTACAATCATAATCTTCACGATAAACTTCCATCTTCCGAAGTGGAAGTGTCTGTGCTTTGTGGTAGTCATCATTTTCATCTTCAGAACTTTCAAATGGGTTTAAAGATTCTGGGTAAACTTCAGAATCAACACTCTCATCTTGTGAAGTTTCTTCATCATCACCAAATGGGTTTAACTCATCAGGGTAGTCTACAATATCATCTTTCAACAATGTTACTGTTTTATTTATTTCTCCGACTTTTAGATCATCCTTAATTTCCTTTCTTTTTGTAAATACATCACCAGAAGGTAGTCCTGCTACATCCAAAATACCAGTGGTTTGATTCACTGAGGTATCTACATCACCAGAAGGTAGTCCTGCTACATCCAAAATACCAGTGGTTTGATTCACTGAGGTATCTACCTCACCAGAAGGCAGTCCTGCTACATCCAAAATACCAGTGGTTTGATTCACTGAGGTATCTACCTCACCAGAAGGCAGTTCTGCTACATCCGAAACACCAGTCATATTTTCATTAGTTACAATCTCTACTTCACTAGGTGGTGATTTTGCTTCCATCACATTTGAAGTTTGATCTGTCGCATTCCTCTCATCAGGATGTAGCATTTTCACATCCAACACACTAGAAATTTGATCAGTCAATCCTTCCTCACAGGAATGTGCAAGAGATGTATCCAAACTACTAGGAGTTCTCTCTCCTGCTTCTTCATTCGTTGAACCAACGTCACTGGAAGCCGCATGTTTCTCGGCTCCAGTCTCCGCTATTCTCGGACTATCCATTTTGTCACCAACAGCAGAAGGATCACCGATGTCTTGACTTGAGGTACCAGAACTTGTGACCTGCTGGTTTAGTTTCAAATTCAGCTGTGAAGAAAACGTTAAAGGACTTTCACAACTATCCATAGATGGGGAACCAATTTTTTTGGACAAACCATAAACTGAGGAGCGAATAACTGGTAGTTCAATTCCAAATGATGAGTAAGACTGTCGTTTGATGAAAGGGGATTTGTAAACAAATGGTTCTGATATGCCTCTGCTCTTAACTGCCTGCTCCTGTGAATCGATGTTTCTTTGATCTTCCTTTGTGACATATTCTTCTCCTATGGATCTCTTCAAGTAACTTTCACTGTAAAGTCTATTTGACGTTACTGTATTATCACTTTCATTTACTCTCACTGTTGCTATGACATCATTACTTGCTCCAGATGACATACTGGTTACTGTCCTATCTTCCTTTTCATCTTCTTGTTCTGATGTACTATTTTCAGTGTGCAAACTTAGAGGTTTTACATCAACAATTTCATTTGTACCACTTACTGCTAAGACATCGATGGTCTCGTTAACTGCGTCGTCTACTACTGTTATATTTGAGGATATATGGAGACTTGTCAATGTGTCACTTTCATTATTGTGATTGTTCTCATTTGACATTTCTAAATTACTATTTTCGTTTCCATTGCTTTTTTCTGGCACAGCAATTTTTTCCTGGCTGTCTGCTACACAAACCAGAGACGAGTCAGTAGATATTTTACCTATTATTACAGGTAATTCTGACAAGCTAACATCACTTTCTACAGTTGATGAAACGTTTTCTGTAGTGATCAAATCTGATTTGTCTCGACTCCTATTTACTAATTCCTTAACTTCTCTAAAGTCTGATGAATCAGGACTATTTTTTGTATCTTTTTCTTCAGAGGAACAAGCGAGAGAATCGTCTCTCTCATCTTGAAGATTACTGCTTAAAAATTGTTGGCGGGCAATGGCCGAACAAGTTGCTATTTTATACTTTTCCCGTTCTGGTTTTATGGGTGGAACTTTCTCCTCCTGTGAAAATGAGATTTTTTCGTTGTTCAGTTTGTGCTCAGGTTGAGATTGTCGTGAAATCTCCTCTTCTGGGCAGATGGCACATTCGTACGTCCCAGAGTTATCTCCCTCTATATAAGCTCCGGGTTTCAGTAGAGCTCCACATTTAGTACACTTGAAACAAGTTCTATGGTATAGTTTTCCATCCACAATCAGTCTCTCCAGAATAAACACTCTTTGCCGACATACTTGACAAACTTCAAACTTTTGTGGTGAAACCACTGCTGGTATCTAAAATATAAAAATGTATATTAAGTTTTTTTCCACGACCTCAATGCCATAATAAGATTACCTTCAAGTTCTAGTAAAATTACCTCCAAATCATAATAAAATAATTTCTGTGTCGTAAAAATTGAAGGTAACTTTACTATGACATAGAGGTAGAGTCGACCAATTTAATCAATTATTATGAACAGTGATTACATCTATTAGTGTCAAGTACACTAACTGGTTAATCAAAATTACATTACATCTGTTGTCATGAAAATAATCAAATAATCAAAATAAGGGCTTATTATTATTATCATTACAACTATTCAAATAATCGAAATAATGAGCTTTCTATGCAGGAATTGAAACCCAATTTTATCATTATAATATTTTTTACTCTAAGTATGTTTTGTCTTGGGCCAGCATAAGCCTGATGATTTGGAGGGTGGAGAGCTGCTCATGATTTGAGGGTCTTGAGTTCAATTCACATTACCACTAAACTTACTTGCCCTGTCTTTATTTATGGCCACTGTCTCTAACTTTGAACTGCTGACCAGATAGAGGGAAGGTAACTGGCTAACAACACCCACAACTCTTTTGGTCATAGTTTTGAGGAACACTGTGCAAATCATGTTGATTAACTGATTACCAAATACCACTAATTGTCCAGCTCTGGATATTGGTACAATTTTTTCTGATGACCCAAAACTGGTACTATATTCTCTGATGACCCAATACTGGTACTGTTACTGTTTCCTTGTTGACCCCATACGATTACTATTTCCTTGTTGAAATGATACTGTTACCTCAATGATTTTTTTAACACATTGAACTTCAAATAACTCAATTAATCCAATTGATTGTTACATGACAAGTAAATTTTTAACAAAATAATATTCACCCTTGAGTTCCTTAATGACCTTAACGTACCTTATTAGGAAAAATGTCAGTATTTCTTTCGCTGAGTGGTCGCTTCTTTATTGCAGTTTTAATACTTGAATCTGTAAACAAAGAATTTTTTATATAAAGTTAGCTAGAATTCAAGATAAAAATACTTAAACCAAGTTAATGTCTAGCAACTCAACCAAACTTAAACCAAGTTAATGTCTAGCAACTCAACCAAACTTAAACCAAATTAATGTCTAGCAACTCAACCAAACGTAAACCAAGTTAATGTCTAGCAACTCAACCAAACTTAAACCAAGTTAATGTCTAGCAACTCAACCAAACTTAAACCAAATTAATGTCTAGCAACTCAACCAAACTTAAACCAAATTAATGTCTAGCAACTCAACCAAACTTAAACCAAATTAATGTCTAGCAACTCAACCAAACTTAAACCAAATTAATGTCTAGCAACTCAACCAAACTTAAACTAAATTAATGTCTAGTAACTCAACCAAACTTGTTACTCTTGTTGGAGAAAAAATGTGTTTGGTGTAGTTTGTAACACTTGATGTTACAGCTGTACAACACCAGTCTGCCTCCAATTTTAACAGTTTGTAGCCCTAAATATGTTTAATACCTTACATTATTACAGTTCATAAAGCTAAAGATCTCAATAGCTCTACAAGTTTTTACATAACATGATTACAGTACCAAAAACAGCTGTTATAATTTAATTGAAATATACTTGGGAATGATTTTTTTCTTACAAATTATTAGAATGAGAAAAAACTTATTCAGCTCTCAAGTATGTACATTTTTCTTAACTTTTCACAAATATTTTTAACACTGTGCAGTGTGTAATACTTAATATATTTTGTTTGTGGTAGCACAATCCCAGTTTACCTAAGGAAAGAAAACACAACTTACGTTGCTGGCCACCTTCAAAGTATTGGTAAAACTGAGACAGGTAGGTTGCAATACTCAGTTTGTCTGGTTGCTCTACTGTGACCATATCTTCGGCATCCAGCAGAGCAGGAATACCCAGCTGTTTCTCTGCAACTCTGAAGGCCTGAATATAAAATGTTCAGGTTCAAATAAAGTTGAGTACACAGGATACACACACATATGCCATGCTGAGGAATGTATACTATCCTATATCACTTACAAGTTCACACTTTTTTTATTCTTTACATCATATTAGTATAACTAATGAATAATGACCTACAACACAATTAAAAACTATATTACAGTGTACATGTTTGTATGTTAGTTCCCTTCTGTGTTGTAAATCTTTACATATATTAGTATATTACAGTGTACATGTTCGTAAGTTAGTTTCCTTTCCATGTTGTTACTATGTTGTAAATCTTTACGTATATTAGTATATTACAGTGTACATATTCGTAAGTTAGTTTCCTTTCCATGTTGTTACTATGTTGTAAATCTTTATGTATATTAGTATATTACAGTGTACATATTTGTAAGATAGTTTCCTTTCCATGTTGTTACTATGTTGTAAATCTTTACGTATATTAGTATATTACAGTGTACATATTCGTAAGTTAGTTTCCTTTCCATGTTGTTACTATGTTGTAAATCTTTACGTATATTAGTATATTACAGTGTACATATTTGTAAGTTAGTGTTTAGTAACAACATGGAAAGGTGTTGTAAATCTTTACGTATATTAGTATATTACAGTGTACATATTTGTAAGTTAGTGTCCTTTCCATGTTGTTACTATGTTGTAAATCTTTATAACTCACCAGATTATTATTTTCAAGAATGTTTTCCTTCGACAGTGACTCATAATCTCTAAATGAACAAGAAAATTACATTAGTAATGAAACAATATGCATACAATCACAAAGTACAATCTACAGATCCATCAGTTTTAGGTTAGAGCCATTGATCAATTTTCACTACTTAGATAGCTTGTTGCTGAATGTATATATAGAACAAATAATATTAACACAAATACCAGATGTTCTTTAATAATTCATAGTTCAACTCCAATGTTTCTTACTTTGTGTACATACCTGTCCAAATCTTGTTCATAACAATATTAAGTAACTGTAAATACATTCATAGGTATCGAATATTTTCTGTCGATCACAACCACTCGAAATACACAGGAAGAAAAAAAAAGACATGTTCAACTGCTGATAATAAAAAATATAGAAACCTTACAGTAAGGAGCTGTCTAGTCCAGTACTCATTCAATAGAACTACTGTTTTAATATCCTAAAATATTTGCATAGAATTTGACATCAATCATAAGCTTTCAATCAAAAGTCAAATGTCAAGTATTTGTACTAAACGCCTACACGAGGTCTGGCCGAAAATGATGAATGATAGCACAAAAGGCAAGACCGTCTCTAAACGAAGAACTCAAATCCTTGATGTTGACATCTCTGTATCCCTCGGTCAGCTTTTGACACCAGGCCTGCAACCCTCGTAGTCCCTTTTTCTCCCCCATGTTCAATCCACAGGATTTTCAAACCTCAGCTGTAATAGACAATACAATAAAAATTGTTATTCAAAATGAAAAATGTAATTTTATAAACTAAAAAGACTCCTCTAGGTATATGCAATTCAAGTCCATCAATGATTGACTGTAATGGTATAAAAACAAAGGTAGAGAAGTTTAGTTTAATAGACTTAAACAAGTGTTATTTTAATTAATTAGTGCAAAACACACTCTTGCTGTCTTGTTGTTTATACTGGAATCATCTTGTATTTGATATTACACATTCATTAAAATATGTGTAGTGATAAAGGCTATCATATATTAACAAGTCATTTACTCAACAGGTCATCTATGAATATACAAATTAATCTGATAGCACTCTCATTTCTTTGGTAGTTACTCGACCAAAGACAGGATAGGACATGACATGGGCAAGCCAGTTTATAATGTATATTACACATATGTTCGTAAACTCAAACATAAATATAAACAATTAATTTTTATCAGTGTTAAAACATTCAAGTTAATGTATTTTTAAAACCTTTTTTCACTAGTGTAGAACAATTTTTCTGAACCATATAAAGAGATTTTTGTGCTTGAGTTTGGAAACATGTGCATGAAATACTTCAAAAACCTGAGTATTAATATAAGATATGTTTAAAACTGAAGCCTCTCATACAAATAAGCTTATTTTTTATTAACAGTATACGCAGTCTGCATGTACATATCAAAATCAACTTTAGGATCAAGAGACTTGTAAAAAGGGGTCATAAAGCATAATTTTCCCTTCCCATCAAACAACTCAACCCATACACCCTCTAGATTATTATCAACCTTCATAATATCACATCTTTCACAAACATATCACCTTGTCATATATGCTGGATATCTAGTTGGGATTCATATTGGGCATTATTTACAGTATATAAGCTTTACTTATACTTAGCATCTCTTGTCTGTTATATTCAACATCCATTTAGACCATTTTGTAAGTAGATGTCCGACTACATAAATAGAAAGACGAACTAAGTAGATGTCCGACAAAATGGTCTACATAAATAGAAAGATGAACACCATTTTGTCGGACATCTACTTAGTTCATCTTTCTATTTATGTAGACCATTTTGTCGGACATCTACTTAGTTCATCTTTCTATTTATGTAGACCATTTTGTCGGACATCTACTTAGTTCATCTTTCTATTTATGTAGACCATTTTGTCAGGACATCTACTTAGTTCATCTTTCTATTTATTTAGACCATTTCATCTATTATGTCGAACATTCATAAGCGGTAGGATGCCACTGAAAGTTATAATTTTCCTGTTTAGAAGTTCATAGGTGGTAGGATGCCACTGAAAGTTATAATTTTCCTGTTTAGAAGTTCATAGGTGGTAGGATGCCACTGAAAGTTATAATTTTCCTGTTTAGAAGTTCATAGGCAGTAGGATGCCACTGAAAGTTATAATTTTCCTACACTGAAAATGTATTTCTGATAGGTACTTACCTCCGCTGAAATAAATAGCTATTCTTGTTCAGTGCTGCTCTCTATATGCAAATATTTGTTTGCATGCCACAAGCGTTGAGCTCCCATGTACCCCACAGTCAATGTGGTTCACCTGCGTCTCGCTTGGAAATCATCGTGCAACAACTCTCCACTAATAGGAGTGTGACATAACCTCCTGATGCAGGTGACTCCCTCTATTCAATTCTACCAAACTATCACTTTGTGTTTTGGCAGAAAATGAATGCACTTGTTTTCAGTGGGGGAGGAAGGGTGGGAAATTTGAGAGAAGGTAACTACCTATTGGTGTGAGGGAAAAACTAAGCAGCATTCCTTGAAAGCATCTGAAGAGCACCCTAAATGGATAGACCTTCATAGGAGAGGATCATAGATGGGAGACTGCACCACATCTGTACGAGGTATACTACACGTGAGGTGATGCAGAGATGGTGGAAAAAGGGAGAAAACAATGATGGGACAGGGATCCGAACCATCTGATATTTGAATCTCAATTCCATAGATGACAGTAATGTGGGTGAGAGTAAAAAGGATGTGCCCTAAAGTGTAGAGTGGCTAGGAAGTGACAAACTATACATGGCAAGTCAACTACATTCCAAAAATCAGCTATCAGGAACCAATATACATGTGAGGGTAGGAAAGAGGATCATACCATCTTCACCTCAAGTTCAGCAGACCAGAGAGAAATATCACCCCCCCCCTCAATCTGTGAACAGGACACATGACAACAAAGTGATAAAATGTTTCACTGATCCAGAAACCCAATATCTGGATGATCGTAATAATAAAGTTGTCCCTTTATTGTGAAATAACCCACTCAAAACAATGAGATGGGAATCACCCCCAGCATATGGAAATCTTCGAAGGGTAGCACAAGAGAAAGAATCATAGGAACCCTCATGTTCATCCACCATGACCCAAATATGTTAACAATTAACATGAAGCCAATTGAGTGTGAAAACAGAGACACAATTAATACATGTGTGAGGACTTATGTTGATTGGTCCTGCTCTGAAACCAAAATCCAGTCACTGGGAACCAACATCTGTGTGGAGGTAGGATGAGGGATCCAAATCGAAGGGGTGAACTGCAATTTTGATGGCTCACTCCAAAGCTACAACATCCCATTGGATAGACTCATTCAAAGATGGAGCATCAGATCAGACGACATTTCATCACATACACTAGCAGAACACCACAACCCTACTTTCAACTGAATGAATTCATTATTTTGTTGTATCGTAGATCATATTCAGGAGGGTACCTCCATGGTCCACCACCCCAGAGTTTTGGAACTGGAGAGTGGTAAAAGATTCTCTACTCCACTGAAAGAAAATATGGTGGAGAGTCCAAGGGAACTTCAAAACCGGAGAAAATGCAATGGGTGATAGTGAAAACCCTATTTTGAAAAGCAGACTGCACCTGATTTATTTAATCTAAGTAATGGCAGGTAATGGGTAGCTATCCTCTTCTGCTTTACCCATAAAGTCCATCTGTCAGTACAGTCCAGAACAGTCATATTAACGAAGCATGTATATGTGAGGAAAACCTACAAGCTATATTATGGAACACCCCAGCTTTTATTAGCCTTGGAAGTTATAATTATTAAGTCATCATGGCCTTAAAGTGCAGATTTGACTAATTTAAATATACTTGGACAGGCACCACTCACCACAGAGTGTGGGATCCATAAAGAAAAAAGGGACAAACACACATTAAAAACAAGATGCGTATATACTAAAAAGTAACTTACGTGATCACAGTCTCACCAAAGAGTGAAGGATGGCGATCCGTGGAAGATGTTACCCCAACAAATAAGAAATAGCTACTTGTAGCAGATAATGGGAGATAAACATATGATGTGTAATCCCAGTGCTCAATGAAAAAAGTACCTCCAATATATGACACAGGTGATATGCAGATAAAAGAGAAGGTGTCTGAACAGAGTGAAGACACCAGGTATTGATTACAAGAAAAAAAGAAGACAAAGAAGAAAAAGTTACAAACAGAGGAGTGGTGCCAAGGAATGAAACAGCAGGAAAAGGAACCACAGGAAAAAAGCCTTGAAGGCAATGAAGCAACCCAGAGAAAGTATGGGACATAGGCCATCGCCATCCCAATTCAACCAGAATTAAAGGTGGGAGATGGAAGGAAACAAAAAAGGAAGAATATGCCATACAAACCACCAAAGTTAAAGGTAGAAAAATCAATCCAGAACAAAAAGAACTGATTAAGCTGGAGTAGCTGAGAAAAACAAATCTGTGTCGGCCATGAAGGAGCAACCAGGAAGACCTGACACAAAGTGACAAGGATGAACGAAATCACCCGGAGCAGATGACAATGGGATGAAAAAATAAATGTATAAACTGGTTCCAATCCTGTCTGAACACATTGACAGCCACGGCAAGTGGATGAAGAACTGGAGACAAAGACATACAAATTCAAAACAAGCTCAAAGGGCAAGGTGCAAAACTTGTACCCAACCCCATGGTAAACAAACCTAAGATAGCGCCACAAGGGATGAAAAACAGGAATGTGGGTATAAGAATAAGAAACGTCAACCTTGGTCATTCTCAGTCCTGGAGAAATAGCCAACCAGAGTGTGATAAAAGACAAAGTAAAAAGGTAAAGAACTAAGAAGTGACTGAGGTGGGACAGATCAAACACAGAACTCCAATCTGCATAAGAATACATGACTAATGGAGGAACTCTTAGATGTAGGACAGGTAAATGACTGAAAGGTGCCAGACATGGAACATGAATAAAGAATGCAATGGCTAGAGACAAAAGAGCAACCAAAAAAGAGAAATATCAAATGTAGCACCACAGACAGCCCATATGATACTAAAAACCACAGAAGTAACACCCAAAAAATGGACCAGTAGAGGAAAAGAGCTGTCCGTAAGTCCTGATTTGAAGTGGAGTCTTCAGCTGGTCATTTCAGATCATACCTGGTGTACAACCTTACTATATCTGTAGGAGATGCTGTGAAGCAAGCATACTTACTTGGTTCAGCAGATAAGACAAAAGAGATAGCCTTAAATCTGAGATCTTCAATCTTTGATATATTCAAATGATCAGAAGCACTTCATTGGCCAACCACAACATGATACTTTGAGAACATGGAATTCTCTCTCCCAGAACTAAAAAACTCCTTTACCTTACGATAACTGAGACGCATACCAGAGAAGCAAGTATTATTGGGGGGGGGGGGGGGTGCACAACAACCATATTTGGCTCATGGACTGCAGAGAGGAAGGGTATGCTTCAGACATGAAATACTTATGACAAAGTCTTTTACAATGAAAACTACAATTTATTTTCAATATGCATAGTCGGACAGAACATGACCTGACTTGGCTACATTGGCTGTATTAACATGGTGAGGCTCCAAAATCATTTTCATACAATGTACTTAACAGGTAAGTGTGTGTACATACATACATCAGATTTGTTATTTCAAAGTCTCCTTTTTAAAGCATGTAGCTATATTTTAGTATACTATGCTATATAACAGTAATTTTTCTAGTACTGCTGATTTATACAACTAAAACTTTCTTTACAAAATCCTGGAAAGAGGCACAGCAAAGTTAGACTAACCTTACAGAAGCAAAACAATTCAAATAAGAACCTTTCATACGTTAGATGTAAGAGGTTCCTGATGAACAAGATCTTTAAAAAATCTTCAATACAACCTGGCAGAGGCAGGTTGTGAAGTCAAGGTACGAACTAAAGCATACGTTAGATGTAAGAGGTTCCTGATGAACAAGATCTTTAAAAAATCTTCAGTTCAGATGGCCGAGGCAGGTTGTGAAGTCAAGGTACAAACTAAAGCATGTTCACTTCAATATACTGCCCTTGCCACAAGTATCAAAATGTCATGAAGTATAACCAGAGATTAATAAACACATCTGAAATACTACACTCATTTCCAAACTTACATAGTTTGGCATTCTTTGGTTCCACAGAAACAAGACAAGCAATGGTAAAGGCACTAAATAGAATGAAGGCATGGATGAACCTCCAAAGTGCATTCATATGTCTGAGGACATATCAATTGAATGTTTCATCCCAAAGAACACAACATAATTCTCAAAATTCCATCTGCATTTCTGGATTATGACCCAGGTAAGCATTACAGACAGTTCAACACTTGAATATGGTAAATGACAATGTTGAAGAGGATACGACTTATTTGAGGAGTATATCATCATCTTAACAAAGAAAGAACAGAAACAGTTCCTCCTTCAAGTTGTGCAGGATCATAGAAGATTCTTTCCTAACAGCAAAAAGGAAACAATAATAATGCAAAAGTGACTAACCACATCAAATTCATGTAAAAATCATAATTATACTACTGTACATGCTATAAACTAATAATATACTTTAAATAATTGTATAATACATAAAAGTTTCTATATCACATAGTACATGTGGTACCAGACCACTGTAGTTTAGAACTTCATCATTAGAAACCTCAAAATATGAACAAAATCTAACATTAGTTGTACACTGGAACAAAAGTAGGGGTGAGAGAGCTCTAAAATTTTTAACCTAAACTTTTAACTGAAAATAATGACCACCCTTAATGATTATACATACATATAATTTGCCAACTCTTTGAAATTGTGTGCCATACATTTTCACATACACTGGGCAAAACTGTTCAAAACTAAACTTCACACAAATCATTTGATCAACTGCATCACAGTTATTAGTGTTGTAAGCTTTACTTCCAATGTTTTAATTTAGTTGTTAGCTGTAGGAGTTCCTATTTTTGATGTGATAACCAAAAACTTCACAAATACCTAGATTTGTACATTAGTTATAAATACAAGTAACGAATAATGAAAAAGCAGATTGTTCAGTGACTAAGAAATTGGCAAATTATTCAGGGTGTGCAAGCTCGAATAGTTGTTGGTAGACAGAAGACTGATCAAGTAATGTTATTTGGTAATAGTTATTTCTTCTGTAAGCCAATCACTGAGTTCATTAATCAAGAAAACACTGTTAAAACTTAAACATTATTAGTGTATTAGGCCTGCAGTTGTATCAGTTTCTTTGAAAGTTCATTTGTGAACTTAGGCCTACAACTTAAGTCAGAGTGAATGTAGCCTGTAGCAAGTATTATTGTAAAAATAACTTGCTATTGTTAAGAGGAACAGACTTGGCATTATTTTCAAATGATCCAATCCTATGATAGAATACAAGATTACATTCATTAGTAAACTACTAATGATTAGTTGAGTAATTATTTTCAGTTATTCTAAAATTGTGTCTTCAGTATCAATATGATTATAAAGGTGGAATTTAATTAAATTTGATGTTTTCAATGCTTATTTTTGTTAATGACCTGTGAATTTCATAAATTAAAGACTCAAATGGCATTCTCTCCCTTTTTCCTTTATTCTTGTGATTAAAGTATATTTATTCATGTTGTACATATACAATAATAATAATAATATATTAATACATGTAATGATGTATGAGAAATTACAGAAATCCTATAAACGTATAACAAAATATCTAGGCTCACTTGAAACATTATCAATATAATTAAATACCTTTGTCGCTGATAATTCTAAGCTAACTTAAATTTAAAGTCTAACTGCAAAGACTATCACCTTATAAATATAATTTATATTTTAATAGTATTAATTATTATTAACAATAGTTATAACAGTACTACTGCTAACCTTTTTGGTATTAGTATTACTTACCTGCCTTAAGTAGACGAAAAAATACTATCAATGAAAAATACACAGGCACAACTGAAATTAGTTACACAGTCCCGAGTATTTTCCCATTATGCGATTTACGGTATTTAATTCTATCACTGAGTGTCACACACTATCAGTATTACTATTACTCAGTATTTGAAATAGTATAGTAACACTAACAGTAGTACGTAGTCGTTAACTTGTAAATGTAATGTCAGTGAGTACACTTTCGAAACTTAACTCTCATATTTCGCAACGGCATAATGAATCCTTTTCAATCTAATTTCTGTATTATGCTTACAAATAAAAGCACTGCCAAAAATACAAATAATAACAATATTTTAAAATAACAGATGGAAGACCATTATGGCGTTACTGCCCCCCAACCGTACTGAGGTTTTGAACGTGTTGACTCAGCTGACTTATAGATATACACATATATATATACGCTCCCTACTGGCAGAACTTTGACATTTTTCAAAGGATAGTTTAAAATCAAATTTCATGTAAAAATGACTAATATACAAGTTATAACACTCCTTTCAACTATTGTTTAATATATTTCAAACGAAATATTTGGGAAAATATTCTGTTATCTCAACTGTAGAGGTAGATCTATAAGATATTGTAGGAATTATGTAAACATAATAAAGAAGTTTAAATAATTATCAAGCAGCACGGTAGCAATGCCTATGAAGGTATGAGAGCGGTTCTCGTTTTTCTTTCTTCCTTACCGTCAGTTGCACCTCATATACCACAGCGTGCCTACTTCCAGCCGGCACACCAAAACACTTCACTAGCCTCTAAGATGAGCCTTTTCAACGTAGAGCCCCAAGGTTAGTTGCAACCAGAAATATATGCAATGATACGGGCTGTATAATATTACAAGTGGTAAAACTGATACACGCTACAAGTGACAAAGATGACACGTGTTACAAATGGTAAAGAGGGTTCACGCTACAAGTGCTAAAGATGTTACATGATACAAGTAGTAAAATGATATGTGCTACAAGTGGTAAAGATGATACGTGTTACAAGGTAAAGATGATACATGCTACAAGTGGTAAAGATGGCACTTGCTACAAGTGGTAAATAGAGTTCATGCTACAAGTAGTAAATAGAGTTCATGCTACAAGTGGAGGTGAAGTTGTAAAAGATTAACCATTAGTAGTAACTTGGAGATATTTTATGAGTTTGTAAATAGAGTTCATGCTACAAGTGGTAAAGATGGCACTTGCTACAAGTGGTAAATAGAGTTCATGCTACAAGTAGTAAATAGAGTTCATGCTACAAGTGGAGGTGAAGTTGTAAAAGATTAACCATTAGTAGTAACTTGGAGATATTTTATGAGTTTGTAAATGGGGGAAGGAGCGTATTTTAGGGCTGGTCTTATAACGAAACATTACTGCAAATTCAATATTTTTTAGTTTCTTGATATTAGAAGGAGTATGTACGAAATGTCATATCTAAGAATAATTATCAGACCTCCCTCCCCACCCAAGAAAAAAAAGTAAAAAAGATTAATCTACAGTGAGGAAATTTACGAGATCTATCAGTATGGGTGATAAATCTAATTTTTTTAGAAAACAAGGTGTTCATATTAGGAGCGTCATCAAATAAAGTAAAGTAAAAGGTATTATCATTTTATCAGAGAGTTGTTCCAAAGAGTTCACAGACAACAGTAAGTTATTTCTGATTGGATATGACGATAGTAAGTTTTTTGCTGATTGGACATGGCGATGGTAAGTTTTTTTTCTGATTGGAAATGACGAGAGTAAGTTGTTTGTGATTGGATATATTTAAACTCTATACTAACATCCTATATTAATATATGGCAAGAATGACTATACTAGTTTTCTAAAAAACTGTTGTTGTTGGAGATCTTTTTTTGTATATTTATTTTCACTAAATGAACATTTGATCTTCTAATTTACCGGGGCAGCCTGTTTGTTTGTGTTGTTGTTAAGTGCAAAGCTACACAATGAGCTAACTGTGCTGTGCCCACCATGGGTATCAAAACCTGGTTTTGACGTTATAAGTCTTCAGTCTTAGGATTGGACTATTAGGAGGAGGGGGGGGGGGACAGCCTGTCTTAGGACCAGGGATGAAATTCTCAATTAAAAAGGTGCCAGTACTCATATGCTCATACTACAAAGGATTTTACTTATATGTCTACTGAATAAAAAATACACAAAGCCATTGTTTTGATGGTTTCAAAGAAATAAATATATATTAATTAAACAGACAACCAACTGAAAATATCATATGTATAAACTTGCCTCACTTTTTTTTTTTGCTTCCAATTTGGTCGAAGGACAAAAAGACATTATACGCACTAATACTAGGAGCTGGTATTAATCACAATATATCAGTCAATAAAACATGTCATTTGGATATACTTATCGTTATTGATAATTATAAACATCACACAGCAAGGCGAGACTACCTGATTGGTTAAATAATTATTTCATCGAAGCTGATAAATAACTTGTCTTCATGATCTTGATGCCAACAAGGATTAATGTCGTTAGGTCATTTATTGGCTGATTTGAAAAATATTTAATGATTATTTAGACCATGTGAGTTGTGATATGCCTGCTTGCTGACAGTACAATGGAAGATGTGTGAGTTGGACGAAAAAATCAAATAATTCCCGGTACAGATTAAGCCAAATGTTTCTCATTAATTGACCACAGTTAAGTCATAAAAAACCAATTTCACTTAAGATGATGGGGGAATGCTCTGCTCATCTAGGGCTCTTTACACGGTAACTGTGAAATGCTATTGTGTTTACCTTGTTTTCTTTGTCAAATAAAGCAAGATCAACATAAAAAAGAATTAGGAATTTGGAAAGCCTTTACCATATTGAGAAAGAAACTGTCTTTGAATCTGACTTCTCCTAGCACTATTGCAACCCATTTCATAATCTTCTCATACAGCTTGAAAACAAAAAACACACAGTAAAAAATTCTGTGGAAATAAACAAAGAAAAAATAATATCCAAAGATGAAAATAAAATAAAAAAATCCTAATTAAATCCTAAAAAAATATTTAAATTCAGAAAATCCAAATTACTTTCTATAAAACAACATTTAAATTATGGAAATCAGAATTATAATAAAAAAATCCAAATTAAATGTAAGAAAGGTTGAAATAACAAAGGGGAAAATTGAAAATTGATTGCTCCTATGTGTTGCAGCTGTATGTCTGCGACTTACAACGCTTAAAAACTGGGTTTCGATACCCGTGGTGGGCAAAGTACAGATAGCCCATTGTGTAGCTTTGTACTTAACTTCAAACAAACAAACAACCCTATGGACTTTTGTATGATAGGACTTCTTATTTTAATTTACTTCCCTATTTCTTTGTTGTTGTTTTTGTGTTTATTATTTCCCTTATATATATATTGTTTGTTTATTTAAATTAGAGCAAAGCCACACTGGGCTATCTGCTGTTTCCACCTCCTGGAATGGAATGCTGTCTATTGGGTGACTATATATATATATATATAT